TTATATTTTACCATTTTGGGAGGGGCTTCAGCCCGAAAGTCCTCCTCCCCCTTAGACCCACCTGTGCAATGATACACCGATTTTAATCAAAATCGTTAGAGCCGTTTTTGAGAAAATTGTAAACATGTGTATAACCGTTGATATAAAGTGTCACTTCAGGTTTACCGATTTTAAGGAAAAAGTTTCTATAACATCCCAGACATATACCTATTTTAAATACCTAATATCAGTTTCGTACGACTTTTCGTTTTTGAGCCAGACTACTCACATACACATACATAGACCATTTTGCGAGACTTGGTCATTTGGACTCAGGAAATCTCAAAAACGTGTATTTCCGTTGAAAGCTCAGATTAAAAAATTTTAAGGCTCCAGCATTTCCTTCCCTACTTTATAGAATGCCTTGGTAAACACTGTTGCCTAACTTACTATCGCCTAAAAATGCACACATTTTAGCATATGCCATCAGATCTTAGTCTTATCAATCAGTAGATTTCATCAGGTTATTTATTAAGAATTATGTTATTTTAATAAGAACAATGTAATATTTTAATATATTAAATTATATACGTGTTATGCATAATGCATGTATCATGTAAAAATTAACATACAAATTAATAATACACGGCCTTCGTACAGAATTACTGGATGAGAGGAGGAGAAAAAAAAGAAAGGAAAAAAACCTTACAAAAAATTAATTTGCTTAAATATAACAAAAAAAGCAATTCAAAGGGAAAAGAATAAAACCAATATCAAATTAATTAATAAAACCTTATAAAAGCATTAACATTCATTATTGAAACAATTTATTAAGAAAATAAAAACTAAAGAAAAATGAATTACATTGATCAACATAAAAAAAAGAGGAATTATATCAAAGTTAAATTAATAATGAGTGACAATTATAAACAAATTAACTCGTTCATTATAAAACAAATAAAAACTTATTACTCGGCAGAAAAAATAAAAAAATTAATTGCTCCATTATCGCTCAGATATTTTGTTTAAAAACAGTGTCGTTTTGATGTTTTACCTAATTAGGTTGCTTTTCTTGTAAACAATGTTAATTTCTTTTTTGTTTATATCCATCTGTTTAAAATATAGGTTTTCGATGGCCGAATTTTAATATCGATATTACCATATATCCAAATAAAACCATGGGGCTAAAATATCCTTTGTATAGGCGTGCGGTGTTTATTTTTATTTTGGAAGGATGGGTATGAACAGCATCTGAATATGTTTTGGATCATGTCATTAAAAACTTTTTTAATGCTAAATATTAAAAACCGGTGAAGCGTCTGAGAGAGAAGCGCTGGGATCTCTTAGATTCTCGCTTTGTCCTTGACACCTTGAGGAAAGAGATAGACTCGGAACTCCCTTGGCTTATTATAAATATTGTAATTAAGTATGAATGTTTTTCTTTTTAATCTATTTTTTTTATTTCTTTTATTATAATTTATTTAATTTGTTACGAATTTACGTATTTTATTTAATTCTTACTTCAAATTATATTTATTTGGTTTTATAGTTTTTGCCTTTGTTATATGGATATATATTTAATTTTTTTATTGTATTGTATGTAGGGTATGAATGTGCCTCACTCAGCTTTACTACTCAGTGCCCTTAGTGTGACAAAATGTATTATTTCTCTATAAAAAGATCTTTAAAAAAAAAAAAATGCTAAATATAGTCGGAATCTTTAACTACATTTTCAAAAAACGTAGACAAATCAATTTCCTTATAAGTTTTTATGAGTATAGTTTTACGTTTTTATCAGATTTTTTTTTATTATAATTTTATACACTACGAGTTAAGTTGAGAGACACATGCCCTTGTGATAAACACCATACCCCGATATGTAGTTTGAAAATCTTAATGGGAATATTATTACATCCCTACCCAATTAATCATAACTTAATTAGTAAACATTTTTCTAAACATATTAAATGATTAAATTCGAGTAATTAAATTAAATTAATGATGATCACTTAGTTTAACTTTTTCAGATTTTAATGAAATTATTATGTTGAATAATTTTGGAACTTTGTGTCATTTTCTCAAAGTTTCTTCTTTCATTATCGTAATATATAGAGTAAATATTACATACGAAATAATAATATTGTTCGAATAAAAAGATATATTATCAATTTCAAATAAAATATAATATATATATATATATATATATATATATATATATATATATATATATATATATATATATATATATATATATATATATATATGTATGTATATATATACATATACATATATATTTATTTAATTATATATATAATAATCGTAGACAATAATTATAGTGATATATGAACACATTCACGCCATATATACAGAAAATATAAAATTAAAAAAATTAAAAAAACAATTATGTACAATCTATATATATAAAAATGAATGTATGTCTGTATGTCTTTTGTGCATTACTAAACCATTCATCCGATCGCCATGAAACTTCGGGAAGTTGTTCCGTACGTACACTCCTGAGAAGGTTTCTGGCATAGTACTCTCCTGTCTTACGATAATTCCATATATTTAAAAAAATGAAAATGTAAAAGTTTTTATGTTCAAGGCCGCAAAAAAATGTGTCGCTATAAACTGTAGCGCCAAAACGGCTTTACCGATTTTAACGAAACTTGGCTAAAGTCTTTCCCTTGAAACCCTTTTAATTTATGTGTATAACATACTTTCCCGAAAACAAGCTGAAAAATGTTACGATTAATTCAATATTTTATTTGACAATAACTAAAAAAGTACAGAATTTTCGACTGATAATACCCGCATTTATTTGACAGATTCCTGATTTGCCGACAAAATGAAAAAGATGTCATCGGAATAGATAAGCATTATCTCCGAAATAAAACTATTTCTAGCCGCCGTAGGATTAAAGTGGGTTAAATTATGTTTTCTATGAAAAACAAAGTTGAGATTAGTATTTCGCATCTCAATAAACCCTCAAATACCAATTTCCACTGGAATCGAAAAATAATTTTTTTTTGGCTCAAATTTTCGTCTAGGGTGGGACCTTCAATTTTATTTCTGAAACTACAAACAGTGTGATAAGTACAGAATTTTCGACTGATAATACCCACATTTATTTGAAGGATTAATGAATTCCTGACAAAATAAAAAAAAATCATCGAAATCGGAGGGTTCGTTGCAAAGTTATAGAATTTTAAACATTTACTGCTTTCTCCTCGGAAAAGGCCATTTCCTTTTGCTTCCTCACTACCGAAGGTATTGAAATTATCATTTGAAGAAGTTATATGATTCTCCTTATGTAGGTCAATACTATTATACGTTCTTTATATTAATATTTTATTTTAGTTTTTTAATTTAGTTTAGTTTTTTTAATTTTTTATATTTTAGTTTAGACTGTTTCTGATGATTATAAATGTCTGCGTATTCACTCAGATGATTATAAATGTTCAATTTGAATCATGAGAAAAAAAAATCATTAGAATTTATTTAAATTGGAGCCATTTTACTGACAAATTTGTTTCCCAACTTTTTAAAAATGACAGATGTCCTTTGCTATTAATCTACTCATATGTGCTTTCTATTTTCTTTCTTTTTCATATTGCCACAGGAGCGCGTGGCCGGGTAAAGCTAGTAAAAAATAAAATGACCTAAAGATAAGTAAATTAAAAACATAAAAACACAGTCATATAATTCTTAATGTCATTTAATATATATGTATATATTGATATTAATAAAATAAAAAAAATGTATATATATATATATATATATATATATATATATATATATATATATATATATATATATACATATATATATATATAAATATTAATTTATTAGGGTATTATAACATATAAAACACAGTAAACATAGTAATTTCATTTGTTTATTATGGTTCAAACCATGATTTTTTAAATGGATTTTTACGACAAAATTTAAACCTTGAATTAAAAATTTTATAATGATTCTAATTTTATATAATTGTGAGAATAAAAATAAATTAGTGGGACCTTAAAATGTTATGTAATTTTTGAGATGGCATAGGGATATACAGTAACTTATGTTACCATGAAAAATAATGGACCATGACTTTTTTCTGAATAAAGGACACAAAGCTAAAAAGTTTGAACATATAAAGTGTAATAATTTCACTGACCTAATATAGATAACTCTCTCTCAAAAAAAAATAATAATAAAAAAAATAAAATCGTAAAATAAAAATAAGAAGTCCTTTGAAAATAAAAATTGAAACTTCTAAAAATAAATTACATAGGTAATCAAAGAAGAAACTTTTAACATAACAATTTCAATCAAGATGTTAGAGAAAGAGTTACATCAATTTTAGATTTTAAAAAATAGAATTGTTTCCTTCAGATCCATATCCAATTTTCGAAATATTTTACCAACTTTAAATGTCAAAGTTGTCGAGTATTCTTAATAGTCCGTGGTAAAGACCACTTTTTATCAAATTATTAATTAATATGAGCTGATAATTTCGTGAAGGGTTTCATTTTGTCCAGAAATGGTGCGTTTTATCGTGATAATTTGATCGAAATAGATTTAAAAAAGTGTCCTATAAAAAAATTTGGACTATACAACCTCGTTATTTTGGCATGTTGGTGGTGGATGTCACGCCTAGCGGCACAATATTTTTGTAGGCCACGCTTTTTCATGATTTTGTGAACAAATTATGTTACTATTCTAGTGGAAAGCCAATGGGTGTTCATTAGTTTTTAGTACCTAATTATAAAGACAAAATTTGCCTATTTCCAGATTTAATACGCCATAATTTCGAGAATTTTCCAGTTGTATGTTACGATAAGTTGAAGCCATTTACGAAATTTTAGAAGGATGTTAATAATTTGCTAGATAGGGGTCTGTACCAAGGACTATAGATTTTGTTATTCTGGTCTCAATCGATCAAAATAAGTATTTTTATTAATAAAATAATTTTGCAATTTATAGTTAGTACAGTAGTAAAATAAGAAAATTAAGCTTCGATCTGATACCTTGCTTTGCCTAAGACCTCCAAGTTTGGTTGTCGCGAAGGTACTGACTCGGCAATGCTTGACACAGGTGGATTTACCCCACTCCATCCCCTCTCCATAGCTAAAATTATATACATTTTTTGTAGTTTTTTTTTTCTCTCTCTCTCTTTTTTCTGAAGAGTGACTCTTATTTTACAATATACGCTAGCTTTGATGTCATAAAGATGTAAAACTCAGGGACATGTTATACCATGAATAGTTTTGGGATTTAGAATTAGGAAAACAATTAACCATGAGACATCCTTGGAAGAGTCAAGGGAATAGATATAAAAAGGAAATGTTGTAGCACGTGCAGTATTCGCCAATGTTCCCAGCAAGAAAGTATTTTCATTTTATTAATTTATGTTATTGTCAACTGCAGAAGTGCATGGTTTTTAACATTTTAAGTCCTTTTTTAGTAATTCAAATTTCAAGTCTAGTATTTTAAAATTAGAATTGGCTAAGGTTTCCCTGGGCTATGATTTCTTAAAAGAAAATCGTAATAATAAAAAGATTTAATAAAATACTATTTACAATGTTTTTACTTCTTTACTTCTATTTAGGAAAGAATTAACGATTTTACATTGTATGGATATATATATATATATATATATAATCATTTGATTTGAAAGTTAACTAAGTTCTCTCCAATAAAAAATCATAATATTTATAATAAAAAATTGCCTTTGCTTTCCCGAATTTCTAGATTACTATATATCAATCGTTTTTGTGTGCAGAATAAGAAAAAAATATTGACTATTGTATTAAAGGTATTACAATGGCGCTTCTATTGAAATAGGCCAAGAAAGTTTCTGAGATGTGTCAATCTATATCTTCAATAAAACACGTAATCGTTTGGTTTTAAACGTTGCCTAGAGATACAATTTGGAATGATAGCTCATTACAGAGAGCATGCAATGCTGAACATATCCCTCACTTACAGTATGCAGATCATATTTTTAATTTTTCAGTTATTTTAATCTATATATAAAACTTTTCGCATCCCTAACACGACTTAGCGTTAAGATACTATTTTGAATAATAGCTCGTTGCAAAGAAGATGAAATGCTGAACAATTCCCTCGCCTACAGTTTGCAGGTCCGATTTTTAGTTTCTGAGATCTTTTAATCCATATGCAAAAACACTTCAATTGGTCCACCCCAACTGACTTTACCCGAGCGTTTCACATCGGAGATCTGACGGCACAATCTAATTCACTCTCCACAAAAGTGCAAAACACACCAATAAAAGTTTTCAACTTTAAAAAAAAAAAAAAAAAAAAAAATATATATATATATATATATATATATATATATATATATATATATATATATATATATATATATATATATATATGAGACTCATCACTAGCGGATCAAGAATTTCATTTCGGAGGGAGGAGAGGGGCTTTAGCCCGGAAGTTTTTTGTCATCTCTCTCTCTTTCTATATATATATATAGAGATATTCCATCCCACTAAAAATCCGCCATGCATCATCCTTATCCACCTTTAAAACCCTCTTATTCCAATTCCTCTTCACAATCCAATCAGACGCTGGTTAAATACATACTATGTTATAAGGATTTAATTTTCTTTAGAAATTATTTTTTTTCTCTTATTTTTTATTGTTTTATTCTGTGTTGAACGTGAATTTTCATCACCACTCACTAAGCATTGTGAGTAGATACAATTTGTTTTTCTTAAGTTCTAATTTGTCATTCATGAAATGTATTTTATTTCTAATTATCTTCAACATACTTCTCGCTATATGTATATGTATACTTTATTTTCTCTTCTCCTAATCTTTACGCATAATCACTTAAATATCTTAGGGAACATATTGTATATCATTATTTGTTTATTTATATTTTTTTTTGTTTTAGTTTTTACAATTTCTTTCCCTACATATTAACAGTTATTATTATTTTTTTAATTTTTATATTCCATCACTACAATGCTTACCTTTTTTTTTTTTTTTTTTTTTTTTTTGTTCTTCCCTACCTCGCCTTTTAGGCTATAAGAGATTTTCCCGGGCCGGGGGGTGATGGCGGGGAATTTAAAATTCCCTCCGGCACCGGGACGCGAACTCGTACTTTTTATATCATCTCAAATCTCTGTTATCCGGTTGCCAGGCAACTAGCCGGTGCTGTTACACACGTTTTAGCCTATTCGGCCACCCCGCCCCCTACAATGCTTACCTATAAAATAGATTTTACTTTCCTTTCTAATTTCATTCAGTGATTATTATGCAATTATTTTAGCTTCAATATTGTAGTACTGAACCCCTATTACCCAACTGTCCTCGTTAATTTATCCTAAGAGCTTAATTAATACTTAATGTATTACATGTATTTTGTTATTATTCATTGTAATAAGTCTTTTGACCAGATTTATAGTTAGTATATATAAACAATACTGTTATTCTAAAGGGACCTAGTCTCAGAATAAAGATGATTTTTCTATTTTCTATTTCTATTTCTATATATACATATATAACGATTATTACTTTGGAAGAATAAGAAAGATCATAACTAACCGTATGAAATGGTGTTTGATTCTTGAGGTCCTATTAAATGCAATTACACGAACAATAGTACTTTCAGAGATATTTTTTTCAAAAGAAATGGTTATATTTTACCGTTTTGAAAGGGGCTTCAGCCTGTGACTCTCATAATGTGGTACCTTCATTGACCTTTCCGAGGCACTGAAGGTAAGGGACATCAACATAAATAAACGGCTCTCTCACAATGAGAGACAAAGAAAAAAAAAGAAGAGAAAAGAAAACTGTTATGATGTTCAGAATTGGGCCAGGGCTGCTGTATGGTTACTCAAGGGTGAGAATTTCTTTCTCATTTATGCATCTGATGACCAAATTAATGTAACATAATTCTCAAAAATTGTAGAGATACAATAATCTGAAGTTATCTCTTATCTTTTTATTCATAATTACAGGTTGTAAAATAAAAAATCATATAATTGAATGGTAAACTTCTTTTATCTAGCGTTCCTGAACAGAGAAATTGTGTGGAAATATTTCCGACTTTTCATTCGCTTTTTCACTTTAATCTTGTTAACGAGTGAACGAATTTTGATACTTCAAATTATTTTCCGATTGTTTAGAGACAGCCAAAAATAGAAAAATGGTGTCAATAATTTTCCGACTTTTAATTAGTCTTTTCTTTTTTTTTCTACTGGTAAATGGATGATTGGCTTTCTTTGTCCAACTATTTTCGGGCTATTTAGAGGCAGACTAAAAGGAATAATATTGTAAAACTTTTCGGAATTTTTATTCGCTTTTCCTTTTTTATCTCGTGAACGGGTAAACGGTGAAATCTACACTCTCGTTCACGAAATATAAGATGATAAGAATGAAAAATTAGAAATCTTTTGTGTGCGCAAGTGATCAAAATTTGCATACGTTGTACAATTATTTCTTATAGGCTAAAGCAATTTTCCGACTGCTAAGAGCTAGGCTAAAACAGTGATGGACAAATGCTACTCTGAGAACTGAGCACTACGTATTGTACTCAAATACTGACCTTTTTTGAGTACCAACGAATTTAATTACAACGTCAGCTGATGTCAAACGATTAACTGAAATAGTGATTGAATTCAGAATAGTGATTCAATTTGAGTAAAATACTAGATACTTGGTACTCACATTAACATTTGCCCATCTCTGGATAAAAGGAAAAAAATGTTAAAGCTTTCCTATTTTTCATTCCCTATTTGATAAACGGGTGAAATCCACACTTCCACTTATTAAATATAAGAGGAAAATTGAATGAAAAGTTGGAAAAGTTTTGTGAGCGGAAGTGATAAAAATTTCGTTCATTGTACAATTGTTCATCGCGAATTGTTCATGGAGAAATTTTCCAACTGTTTAGAGTTAGATTAAAAGGAAAAAATTGTTGAACCATCCCTATTTTTCATTTAAGAGGAAAAGCAAACGAAAAGTTATATGTGCGGAAGTGATCGAAAATTTCGTACATTATACGATTGTTCATCACTTCAGAAATTTTCCTGTTTAGACTTAGGCTAAAACGAAGAAATTGTTAAACCTTTTCGATTTTTCATTCCCTCGTCTTCGTCTATTTTATTCGTATATTATCGTTGAACGGTGAAATCCATACTTCCGTACACGAAACATAAGGGGAAAAGCGAATGAAAAGTCAGAAAATGTTTGAGTGTGGAAGAGATCGAAATCTTCTTGTGCATAAAAGAATTAGGAATAAGAATATGTATATTTTTTACAAAATACGAATGTTAATTATTTTGTTTATAAAGAAGTGTTAAAAAAGAAAACAAATTGTCATTAAAATCAAAAATTTTCATTAACATTTTACGTTTTAAACTTAAGGAAATAAATTTCCTTCTATGTCCGTCTGTAATCAAATACATGTAATCTATGTTTACTCGATTTTAGTAAATTTTTTTAAAGTTGAAAACTTTTATTGGTGTGTTTTGCACTTTTGTGGAGAGTGAATTAGATTGTGCCGTCAGATCTCCGATGTGAAACGCTCGGGTAAAGTCAGTTGGGGTGGACCAATTAAAGTGTTTTTGCATATGGATTAAAAGATCTCAGAAACTAAAAATCGGACCTGCAAACTGTAGGCGAGGGAATTGTTCAGCATTTCATCTTCTTTGCAACGAGCTATTATTCAAAATAGTATCTTAACGCGAAGTCGTGTTAGGGATGCGAAAAGGGAAAATAGTTTCGAAAACCAAATTATAACGAGTTTTATATATAGATTAAAATAACTGAAAAATTAAAAATATGATCTGCATACTGTAAGTGAGGGATATGTTCAGCATTTCATGCTCTCTGTAATGAGCTATTATTCCAAATTGTATCTCTAGGCAACGTTTAAAACCAAACGATTACGTGTTTTATTGAAGATATAGATTGACACATCTCAGAAACTTTCTTGGCCTATTTCAATAGAAGCGCCATTGTAATACCTTTAATACAGTAGTCAATATTTTTTTCTTATTCTGCACACAAAAACGATTGATATATAGTAATCTAGAAATTCGGGAAAGCAAAGGCAAAAATATTTTTTGCTCGG